TTACCGAAGAGAATCGAGCTCCGGATTTGCTCTCGGAGTCAACGCGCGCCGATCGTTTTGCGAACGCGCGCTCTCCACGCTCCGCGAAGTAGACGGTGGCGGAGACAGGCGGACGTTAATCAATTAAACCCGACTTGGTTCTCAGCCATCTTTTACTCACTGCCGCGCGGAGCGAGCGAGCTAGTGACAGAGACAGGTCGACGAGAAAAATTTGTCGCGCACTGTCGCGGGCGGCGGTAAGTCGTGCGATGTCAACGTTTCCGGACGACTCAATTACGTAACTGAGCCTTCGCGACGGATTCCTCCCGTCGCGCGTTTCCGTTAGTCTTGGACTAGCTCCCCCCCGCGTTATCAGTTAGGTAATACGATCCATCTCGGAGCAGAGAGCATTCCTTCGAAACATTGACGTTCCTCTGTGAAGAATCTGCCGGCGCGATACACGGAGGCAGATATCTTCGTCGCTCGTGCCGTACGACAAATCGTTCTACGATACAATTACACTGACACACGAATCTCGCAGAATGCGCATTATTGTTTTCTACTAGCAGACAACTCGAGGGCGCACTCGTCAAAATTCGACGTAGGGAGTCGCGATGAGAGGCTGGCTTTTGCAAAATTCACCAATTACCGCCAACTCTTCTCACTTTTAACGGCGATTGCACAACTTTGATCGACTCCGGTATAATCTAATAAACAGTTACGACCTCGCGTAAACCAGCCTTCAAACGGGAATTTAATTCCACCCGCGTCCCGCCGCCGTCGCTCCGTGAAGCGTTATATAAATCCCCCCCCGCGAATATCTCATTCGACGATAACACGTAAAGAGTATTTCACGCGCAAAGGCAATCGGATTGACGCCCGCTCATTTCTTCATATCTTGGCAGTGAACGATGGCAGGCAGACTGTTCGCGAGTCGCTTGCGACCCGCCATCCAGGTGCAGAGGTGCGGGCTGATGACGATGGACAGGGTCGGCAACAGGGACGTGGTCGGCTTCGGGTACAACGGCGACCCCACCTACATCGACAGGATTGACTTTCCCTGCCCCGCGGTGCGCTGGAGGGAAAACACGCCCGATATCATGGTGAGTCCCCGCGCTCGGTCTCGCAGATTTTGCAGCTCGTCTAACCGCGTGTCTCTGCCGTCAGGCGCTGCGCGAGAAGGAGAAGGGCGACTGGAGGAAGCTGTCGATCGAGGAGAAGAAGGCCCTGTACCGCTCCAGCTTCCGCATGACGTACAGCGAGATGGACGCGCCTACCGGAGAGTGGAAGGGCATCATGGGCATGGTCATGGTGGTGTTGAGCTCCGGCGTCTGGCTGTACCTCTACTTCAAGACGTTCGGTACGTCCCCCGCGTTCCGACGCGAGCCGCCGAGCCGTCGGTTTAACGTCGCCTCTTCTTTCAGCCTATCCGCCCTTGCCCGAGACGTTCACGCTGGAGAGACGACTGGCGCAGCTGGACCGCATGAAGAAGCTGGACATGAATCCGATCGACGGGCTCTGCGCCCGAAAGTAAATTATATAAATTTACCCCGCCGCCGATCGCTTAGTCATTGTGTACAGTATCTCGTTCCCCGGACGCTTGTATATACTCGTGTACAAGTGGCGAAATTTTAATAAACGCCGTGTGGTTACATTGCAGCGCTGTCGATTGCATTAAAATACTTTGTCGATTAGTTATCTCTTTGGGGGGGTAATATATTATAAAATTAGGTGACATACATGTAAATATATAAATTAGTATGTGCATAGTAAAGTGTGAATCGCTCAAATGTAGGACTCGATTGAAGAAAAAGGTAAGTAAGATTTATTTCGTTTCCGTACATCTTTCACACACCTCGCCTCGGATTAGAACGTATACAAACTTACGAGTAGATAATTGTAAGTACAAATCGCTGCCGGCTCTCTAAGTCGTACGATTCAGCTGTCGGCTATCTCACTTTCCTTTCTCCTCGCGGAAGCTTTTATTAAGAAAAAAAAAGAAAAAGAGATTACTAGAGCACGGGTCAACTGTACTGTTGGCCGCGCCTCTTGAAAATTCGCAGTTACACAGTTACGAACTTTCGGTAATGAGTACGCGCTAGTTAAATACTTTTTACAATTTCAATGTAACGGTTTGTGAAAACGACAGTACAATTTCTAGAGACGTGAAACGGCATTACTGATCGCGTTACATTATTGCTTATTTAAAAATATACCCACACAAATATAAATATACATGACTATCAAAATTTTTTTTGGAAAATACAGAGTATTATATTGCTATCGAGAGAAGTTTACAAACGGTCTAGCTGGTCTTAAACGATGGCTATATACGAGGTAAAATCGCTCTCCTTAAAAAATATACAAACAAGAAATAATTAAGAATCAAGTATCGGCATCATTCATATTTATTAAACTTTTTTAAATCTTTTTTTTGCGGTTTTTTATTTATATACAGACGGTACGATAGTCGTTCGGGAAATTCGATAAATATGAGTGATTACGAAGTTTCGTTATCAAACCTTCAATGATTACGAAATTCTGATATTTATAAAAAAACACGTAATTTCTTGAGGATCACTAAGCGATAATAATAGTTTACATAGTTTTAAAAATGTAATATGGCTTTATATAATGCTTTACAGTAACATTTAAATTATATATTTATATATATTTATATATATCTTTAAGCAATTGACAATTTAATTATTAAATTCAATCACAGCGTACGATATTACATATGAAAGTTTTAAGTTAAATAATATACACGGAATACTGAGTGTTATATATATATATAATTTAAAAAGGTATCAGAGCTAAACATCCTCAATTCACGTGGCTAAATTAAAGAGCTGCAAGAATTAAATCTTTACATCGCACATTAAAAGTCGTTGAACACAAAAAATGCAGTGGCACCAGAAAGGATTTTCGTCTGATGTACATTGCGAGAGATTTGCTAAACACTCTATTTCTGTCTTGTTAATTATTGCGTCAACGGAATGTAATATTTAATAATGAACTATATGTCTACCATGATCGACGAACGTAACGTATATACGGGGCTTTTAAGTAATGTCAAGGCCTTTTCGCGTATTGTCATATACATAAGTTTCATCAAATGCAATGTAAGATTCATAAATATCAGATTCTTCGTTTTCCTTTCCCCTTTGTATAATACAAACGTGTTCTGCGTTTTCAATTATCTGATATAAAAATAATACATCATTGTTCAGAGGACATTAAGAATTATGCGCTAACATTAAGAAACTGGCGTCTCTGTACAAAAAGATGGGGCTAAATTTGCAAAAAAAAAACCATTGTTGCTACGAAATAAACTGCGAAGATTCGAAGCGTTGTCATCACTCTGTCTTTGAAAATAAGCTACTTTTTAAAAATATTGTTATTCAAAATCTTAATTTTTTTTTTTGTTTTACCATCGTATTACTCGCGCGTAAACCTGCAATTTCATTAAAATCTGAAAAACATACCAAACTCTTCCAACAACGATATATTTATGCTTCGTAGAGAAAAAAAAACAAAAAAAAACTTCATCACTTTTAAATAGATACGGCCTCATCCACGAACCTTTATAATAAAAATCACTATAATAAACGCTACTTTAAATATTTATAAGTTACAAAGAAAAAATTGAGAGTAGGTAACTCTTAGATTTACTTCTCTATGTTTGATGATTGTATATTACAATATGTACATTAGATAAGTCCCAATATCACCAAATTTCTTGTCACCCTCCTGTTATAAGAATATAGTTTCGTATAGAAAACTAAGTTTCTGTTGTCACTATCAGAGTGTTTTATAGTTTTGTGTATTGAGAAAAATGTACTATAACTCATTATCGTTTGCATACTATGCGTACTTTAAATGTATTACATGCTAATTATCATGGCTGTGAACACAATTACTATACGACGATGGCAATGATAAATTTTTCAAATTTTTTTTTCTTTCTTAAATAATAATTAATTAAATTATCGTTACACCGGGTACCGTTTATAACCTTGGCAACGAAAGTGAAGTATAAGTGGATCTTATCTCGATTCTTGATTAGAAATTCCGTACGTCTTAAATATATAAACGTTTGCGTACAGAGTAAAATATTTCGTGGTAAATCGGGAGAAAAAGAAATATACGTATATATGCATATATGTGTAGCTACTGCCTGGGCATTCTTGCTCTTTGCACAAGAATCGTAAAATTCCATAAACTGTTAGTTCTCTCAGAACCGTAAACGGTGCCCTTCTGTACACTGAATCAAAACCGAAGAGTATTCGTGTAGGGATGTTTCAGTTATTACATGATCGACCATTTATATTAATCGCTGTCATTCTATCACACGGTTATGATATTGAGCTCGCTACTTAAGTGACGGAAGTAATGTCCGAAATTATCGTGCACGTTTCATCACCGTACACAATCTCCGGTCCCGCGTTGCATTGTACACTGCTTCTTCCTCTTCATTGAGTTTGGCCTAGAGCTTGGACTGTGACTAGTATTGTTGTTGTTATTATTATTGTTGTTTCCATTACTGTGGAGCGCGTGCTTGGTCTTGTTCTGACCGACTATATTGTTGTTGATGCGGTGATAACTGCTTTTGAAACTCTGTTGGTGATTGGCTGCAACAGAGAGACAAGGGCAAAATAACGCGCGTCAAGCGTGAAAGTTACCGTCGAACGTTATATATTCATGTAACAATCTCATCGAGATCTGTTGCAGCAACTTCGTAATATACACAGAAAGCGAACAGATTTACTGTCGTACCATGAGCGGTCGTTTTGAATGCTTTTCTTCCAGAATAATTGTGGATCTGGTGACTATTGTAAAAGAGCCTATCTTTGTTTTTGTCGTTTTCGTTCTTCCCGCCAGTGTTAGGTGAATTGCCACGACTACACTCCGAGTCCTTAGTCAGACATGTAAATAAATTCAGAATTACAAAAAGCAGGCCCTGCATCATTCTACACTTAACAGTTACGCCCCAAACGCTATTCAACACATCAACAGGATGCAAGACAAAATCAAGTAGATTAAAACATTGTGTACAAAGAGATGACATTTTTGTACCGTATCACTGGCGGGAGCTGAAAGGGTGGATGCATCAGAACCAGTTGAGCTTGACAGAGAGTCTCCTTCGCTCACGGGCAAGGGGAATGTATCTTTGATCCACTTACGATACTCTATCACTTCATCGGTCACGCGGATTATTCTTCCCAGTATGCTGCATGTATAAAAGTATCGTTTTTAGTTTTCGTTTTGCAATTTTCAGCACCAAAATAGAGAAGGGATTTTCAAGGGATCTCACCTTACTTTACTGGCGTCATTGATTAAGATATTTGAGGGATTGACCGTTTGAGAGAGGATACAATAGGCCCAATTAAATGCATTCTTTACATACAAAGCGCCGTAACTGCTACGGCCGATGTCATTCCCGGGCGTGAGTGGGTCTTCTATGCACAACAGGGATGGCCGGTGACCGTCAATCATATCTCGTTGAATCTGTTAATCAACGCGTGCAATTAGTGCCCAAGTATCGGTGTGTGGAACCTCACGTTACAATATAAATGTAAATTATTGTTAGACCTCTTCTTTGGATATGTAAATACCGCCATCCTTCACGCGAATGCCAGTCTTGACATAGTTGAACTTTCTACCGTACAGCTCTAGAAATTCAATCAGCAACACTCCCAGATTGGTGTTCGAACAATGGATATCCTTCCTTGGGTGTAACTGAAGCGACAAAAATCACTTCGATTAGTTACGTAATTATAACTAAAGCAAATGGTCGCGCTCGTTTCTTAGTAATAGCAAATATTCAAAGTCACGGCCAATGTAGTCTACGAGCAAATGTAGACTGTAAAATTGTTATAAGACTAACGGAAATTTATTCTACATAATATCGATTTCGATTGGAATTACAAAAAAGTTAGTAGAGGAAAGTCCGCTATTACAAGATAGGTTTGTAATATGAGATAGCAGCTTTTCAACACCCAAATTCAATGGCAAATCTTTTTTCGCAACGATTACACGATCCAACGATGAATTTTCCGCTCAACAGATTTCGCCCCGAGCCGCAATAAATTCACGGTGGAATCAACAGATGATGCCTATTGACTCAATAGAAACCCCGCTATCTCATATTCGAAGCCTAGCTGATAATAGGGAACTCTTCTCTAATTATAATTTTGTTCAACGCCAGGATAGGCAATTAGCCTCGGGAAAGTTGTTACGGTGACAAGTGTAATTCGCGCCCCGCGACTGCAACTCACTTGTAAAAAACTGATGGTCATAAGTATCAAACTGTACGAGGATATGCCACCGGTGAACACCTCGTTAAGATCTCTCTGCAGCAGAAACTGCTTCAGCACCATGACTAGCTTCTCCAGAACTGGGTACTGCTTCTTGAAGGAGTTTATCAGCTCGGCGGACTTGACGCCGTTGTTCATGTTGAAACTGATGTCCACCTTAATCTCGCTCTCCTTGTCGGTCAGCTTGACGATCGGCACGCTGGCCTTGTCCAGCACTTTAATAGAAGACGGCTCAGCGATATTTTGATCTAGCAAAGCGCGCTCCAAAGTGCGCAACGGAAGATTCGTCCACATCCCTATCACTACCAAATCTATATCACTGCAACAACAGGGCATTTCCGTGTATTTCACGGCGAGAGGGCGGACGGGCGGTTACGTAATGTTTCTTCTCCCTTCAAAGCCCAATCTATAACGTGCCCTTCGCGTCTGGAAACCCTCCACTTTGCACAAGCGAATCGAAACGCGTAGAAACTTGGTCGCGCGAATTTTTTTTAAATGTACTTCTTGGTTGCAAAATAGAATGTTTCCAGGCGCAAAAGGGCACGTCGTAGACGCATGCTTTATGGATAAGCGCAGGGATACCCACCTTGTAGGCAAATATAAACCAGTGCGAAAACTACCGAACACTTCGACCTTAGAGTCCGGCCAGAGATCATAAATTACGTTTTCTATTCTCTTCACAACTCTCAATCTCAGCACGTGCTCCTCGTGCGACGGGCACATGTATGTGAAAAAATCTTCTATCTCCTCGTGCAACCTAAACAGAACGCAAGAGCGTTAACACGGGTCAATTTTCCAGTGTTCCACTGACGCGTCGGGCGCGACATTCAAATTGGCAGGCGCAGGGTCCCTAAAAGTCTTGAGAGGGAACAAAAAAGTCCCCGTCGTTTGCAACAGCTCGGCGCGCCTCGTCCTTCAGCTCTTACAATTCAGTAATGATACCCTACGTTCCATGTTTACAGTTTCTTCTGAGCGGACGATAACGATGATGGTTTCAAATTTTTTGTAGCTCTATTTGTAAACCTAGACAGAGAGAAAGAGAGAGAGAGAGAGAGATTCGCACAAGAATTTGAGCCGCGTGTAGTAGTGCTCCATCTTTCTCTCTCTCTCTCTCTCTTTAGCGTGTAATAAAGATTCTGATTCTCTCTTGCGCGTGCAAAGACGAGGCGCAATGTTTAAATCCCACGGATCGCTATTTGTCAGCCCCCGCTGGCCTTTCTCGGGCACCGAGTTCTCGACGTCGGGGCGGAGAGTTGATCTCGGCGGGCGACCTAACCTAACCTAACCGGGGGGACGGCCATATGGGCGACGCGGCGATCCCGACGGGAGCGGACGACTCACCCGATGACCCCCTTGGAGTAGTGCTTGTTGAGCAAGCGCCAGGGGCAGCCGCCGTACGTGCCCACGAGGGCGTGATAGTTGTAGTTCATGTCGTAGGTGCTCGCCCGATTGTCGCCTTTCCTGCGGGATGGATTGTAGTAGCTGTTGCAGGCGTTGTGGGGCACGCGGTGCTCGCTGCCGTTGCCGGCAGCAGAGCCGTGAACGGCGGACGCGGCCCGGCCGTTGCTACCGTTGCTGCCGTTGCCGGCGTTGGCGGTGGCGTTGGGGGACGGCGCGGTGCCGCCGGGCGCGGCGGCGGCCGTCGCCGCCACCGCCGGGCTCGTGTCCAGCGCGAGAAAGTCCTGCTGCAGCCGCACGCCCATCGCGTTGCTCGTGTTGCTCGCGTCGTTAGCCGTTAGAGCCAGGACGTCGAGGCCCTTCTCAGCCTCCCAGATGTGCAACCAAAGGTCCCTGGCGGGGCCGTACTGCTCCGGTTGGTACCAACCGATGGTCGGATCCATGAAATTGGCGCCGTTGGATGGGGAGCTGCTCCTCTCCGTCCTCGCTCACTGCCGCGCGGTCGCGTCCGCGTGTACGTGTGCGGGGGTGCGCGCGCGCGCGCGCGCGTTCCCGACGCCGTGCGTGCGTCGCGCGTGCCGCGCCGTGTTGTGCCGTGCCGTGTCGTGTCGCGCCGCGCCGCGCGTACGGATCGGGGCGGACGGACGACGACGACGGGCGGTCTCGTGCGGGCGAAACGAACCAAACGAAGGGACGGCGCACGACGTCGCGTGTCACTCTCTCGCTGTCGCTCGCTCGCTCGCTCGCTGTCGCGCGCGCGCGCGCGCGCGTTGTACGGTCTCCTCCCTCGTGCCGCTGGTCCGTGGGCCGTCGACACCTGTCGCGATTTCGCGCACCGTGATATCCAGTCTCCGGGTCGGTCGGCGAGTCGGTCGACGGACGGGCAATCGGTCGATCGTAACCTGCCAAAGGTACGAAACTAAACCGAGATATCATACGCGCGCACGGCCGTGGAGCACGACGAGCCGAAACGCAAACCCGAGATTCGCCGACGTCCCCCGATTACGGCGCCGATTAAGGGGTGATTCTCGCGATATTTGTCGCGCCTTCTCGCCCCTCTCCGTCGCGCCGCGTCGCTCCGCCCCGTGCAAACGCGCCCATTGCCAATTTCTATAGCGCGATTCAATGCTCGATGTTCATTGGTTTTTAAACGGTTTTCATGCTGTGCATACGCAGCCATGCAATTTTGTGTGCGATGGCCCGAACTCCGAGTGCTTCTTTGCAAGGCTGGTATTACATTTGTCGTACGACAAAGTTTTTAAGCGTATTGATTGGCTGAAGGATAGTAAAATTCTCGAGTATCTAGAAACTTTCTATTCAGCGGCCAATCGACACGCTTGAAAAATTTGTCGTACGACAAATGTAATAGTACCCTCAGGCTGATGGCAGACAACTATCCGTAAGCGCTTAAGACTGACGTAGTCGTAGACTTAAGGTAAGACAGAGAAAAACGTAAGCCGTGGAACACGTGTTCCTTACGGCTTACGTTTTTCTCTGCCTTACCTTAAGTCTACGACTACGTCAGTCTTAAGCGCTTACGGATAGTTGTCTGCCATCAGTCTAAAGGCCTTCATACATAAAATTCCGTAAGGACGTAAAACGTAAGCGTAAGAAAATCAACAGATTGGATTTGCTACTGCTTGCGTTATTGCCTTACGTTCTCGACTGTGATTGGTCGATTTTCTTACGCTTACGTTTTACGTCCTTACGGAATTTTGTGTGTGAAGGCCTTTACGGAATTTTATGTGTGAAGGCCTTAAACATCCGTAGACTGATGGCAGAGAACAATCCGTAAACGCTTAAGCTCGGGTCTACAATAGATGTAGTAAGCCTTAAGCCGTAAGAAATTGATCAATCACAAGCGATTATTCTCCTCATTTCAGACTGTGATTGGTCAATTTCTTACGGCTTAAGGCTTACTACACCTATTGTAGACCCGGGCTAAGACTGTCTCAGTCGTAGACATAGGGCAAGGCAAGAGAGAAACGTAAGTAGTGAAAGGCTATTGTATACGACTTACGTTTCTCTTTGCCTTGCCCTACGTCTACGACTGACAATGAGACGGTCTTAATGCGTGGTCTTTTTTTTTGTTCCGAGAGAGGGGAAAAACGCCTTTACGCGTACCATCAGGGTCGGATCCTGGATGGTTATGCTGGACTCACCCGAGAAGCGGGAATACCAGCTAAAAAACCCTCTCTTTGGACCATCCCCGCACTATAGACGAGCCGCCCCGGGACCGCCTACGAAGGCATAACGTCGGGAACAATGCGTGGTCTACAATGCGAGTCGCAGAGTCGTAGTCGTAAGAATAATCGACTACGATTGGTCAATTCCGTCAGACACGTAAAGCCTCCGCTACAATGATTCTCGGTTCTGTCTACAATGGTCGTAGTCGTAAGAATAATCGACTGCGATTGGTCAATTCTTATCGAGCGACTACGACTACGACCATTGTAGACAGAACCGAGAATCATTGTAGCGGAGGCTTTAGAATTGATCAATCATAGAGTGCGTTCCGGCAAGACACTGCTACCGTAGCGCTACGGTAGCGCTACGATAGCGCTACACGAGTACGTTTCGGCAAAACGTACCGCTACAACTGTAGCGGAACTTCTTCCTCTTTAACGTTGCTTTCATCTGATGAATCATCGAACAATATGTCATTCATGAGCCAATCTTCAATATTTTCCATTCTATTCGTTTCAATTAATTTTGTAAACGAGATAAACGCGACTCTTATAATTCAATTTTGAGGTTATGCACGCTAATGTATATATGGCACCGCTACAATTGTAGCGAAAAAGCTGTAGCGCTACGGTAGCAGTGTCTTGCCGGAACGCACTCATAGTCTACTATTCATATGACTACGACTTCTTACGACTCACGACTTACGACTTACGACTACGACTTCTATGTAGACGAGGCTTCAGCGTTTAGGTTTAAGCGGGGAGCACACACTTTTTCATAAGTGCATAAGCATATGCATAACGAATTTGATTAGTCTATAAGCAAATGCACAACAAATGTACCAATCAAATTCGTTATGCATAAGCTTATGCACTTATGCAAAAGTGTGTGCTCCCCGCTTTAGGTTTTATGGCAAGGCGTACTGTTTTCCCATGAAGACTGCACGCCCATTGGATAATCGCTCGACGCTCATCTCTTCCAGTCTGAATCCAGCCTAACCCCTAAAGTTAGGTACGTTGGGTTAGGTATGTTGCTGCCGAGTCGAGCCACGCGTGTTTCGACGAGAGCGTGATGCGCGCGATCCCGCTGGGTCGTACGGGGAGAAACGGTCCTCTCCTCGTCGACGCTCCGCCTCGTTATGCTGAGGAAACTCGTGCCCAGGATTATCCGCGAGTTCACGCAGTACGCGTGTATCGTGTACTGCGTGTGCGAATACGTGGCCGACGTCGTCGTGGTGAGAATCATCAGGCGTTCATGCATCTTTCCTTCCCTCACTACCGTCGGACTCGCCACGGTGTTTGTTTTCAGAAATCGGCGCCGCTCGCCTCTCTCTACCTCAAAACGCTAGATACAAGTTCCTAAAAAAACGAGAGTAATGTATGGCGAAATAAGAGGCTCGTTTTTTTTAGTTTAGTTAGTTTTTTTTTTAGAGGCACTAGTGCAAGCAATCGAATTCGCTATTTGACTCTTCACTTTTCTCGCGCAGAGACGATATTGCTGATATAATTACAGTGCAGCGGTCCGTCCATGGAGCCCACATTGTACACAAACGACGTATTAATTCTGGAACGGATATCGATTAGATTGCAAAGGCTCAACAAGGGGGACATCGTCATTTCCAAGTGCCCCAACAATCCGCAGCAGAATATATGCAAGCGAATCGTAGGCTTGCCTGGCGACAAGATAAGGAATGGCTTCAGCGTAACGACGGTAAATCGCTGGAACCCGTCTCAATGACTACGTTTACACGGTGGCTTATAAGCCGGTTTAATAACTATGATGTACTATCCAATCCAAAACTTTTCTCCTTTTCACTATAATGATTATTTAAATATGAGCCTATTTTGTTACCCTAAATATTTTAATCAGAAAAGCTCATATTTAAGTAATCGTTATGATCAAAAGAAAAAAATTCGGATCGGGTAGTATACTGCAGTTATTAAATCGGCTTATAAGCCGTCGTGTAAACGTAGTCAATGACTCGACTCTCCTCGGAGTGTTTGCGACTTTTTCGTCTCATTTTGTTGAGAAGAATTGCAGAGAGAAGCATTGTCGGGCGATTAATTAAGTATCCTTGCAGATACCTTGCGGACACGTTTGGCTGGAAGGCGACAACAGGAACAACTCTACGGACTCGCGGGAGTACGGGCCGATACCTCAGGGATTGTTACATGGTCGAGCTTTGTGTAAAATACTCCCGCTCAGAGATATAACTCTGTTCACGACCAAATGTGCAACCTAAATTACTTTTGCATGTAATAGATATTATATTACTCGGGGATGTCCACTCAACGATGTTCTAGGTAGATTAATTTAAAAAATAAAAAGGTTTGCGTATACAATAAACCTTACATATGTACATATATATTGCTCATTTGTTACAAGATGTAACTCAACAATTGTCATTTTTTAATTGTTTGCAAAAGAGTGACGACAATACGATTAAGAATAGGATCAAAATTATATCCTGGTAACACGTGGTGGCTCATATAGGTTTTTATATATGTTCCCTAAACGTTTAGGTAGCTTAGATGAAGCATCGCGTGTTACTTGAGGTATATACTAAAATCCGAGTCAATTTCAATAATTAAATTAAACAATATAGCGATGCTTATTGTCGCCAGTAATGAATAAAAATAAGTCGCAAACTTATAGTCAACCAAAGTGGCAAGAGATTAATTTATTAAGAAAAAAGCTATAATGTTAAAGATGTCTTTTAGACATGCATGTTCTCTGGGTTAATATTATGCTTCTGTATAGTATTAATCCACTTAATCCGTGACTTTACAGTGTATTCTACTTGATAAGGACCTGTAATTTGGTTGAAACGTTGTTTTTTTTTCTTAATAAATTAATCTCTTGGTAGTTTGGTCGACTACAAGTTTGCAACTTAATCAAATTAAACTTTTTTTTTCTTGGATTTGAGTAATATTTATAAGAAATACTTATTCATTGTACTCGAAGTAATTTCAATTACCCACAGTACAAATCTTGCAGTTACATTGCAGTAATATCGCTACAGTATTGCAACATTGTACCTAGTCGCAACGTAACTGCAAAACACGTAGCTCCTGGGAGTTTTTAAAACATGTTTTCTGAACTTCCTGCGAGCTTAGGTGAAGCTTCTCGGGAGCACCGTGCGAGTTGGTTTAAAGTTCAAATAAAGTTTCTGAAAAATTTTATAAGCTCCCCTGAAGCTCCCCGCGAGTTCCCCGTGCTTTGTGGGATATATACAAGTATCTATAGACATTTTTAATTCTCTACAATCAATAAAAGTTACTACATTAAAATCGCATGTAAAAACGACATTACAAATTGCATTTATAGATATCTATAGATATATTTTTAATTCTCAACAATCAATAAAGATTATTACATTAAAATTGCATTTAAAAACGACATTACAAAATTTCAATAATCCTAAACGTTTAAGTTCACTTTCTTGAAAACTTTTTGAGTCGTGTCATCGTTGCAGCCAACAAACGAGATATCTATAAATTTATCCTAGATTCATAATTTTTTCACTTATCGACGTTACATCACTCGAGTGCCTTATCCTCTGACTTTTCTCTAGATTACGTATGAAATCATAAAATATTAATTACAGAGGAAAAAGATTATTAACGCATGGACGATTATAAAAATTTGCGCGCTTTGTATCGTGGCGATAAAATAGCAAATTGTATCAGCGCTGAAATGACGAACTGAAAGATTTGGCGCGGAAAAACACCGCGATACACCATACATCAAGAACTTAATCAAGTATTAAGCGACGTATCACGTTTCAAGGTCGTGGACGAGATTATATAAAGCCGGCGCGAGCGGTGCTTGCTCGCAGAACGGTCTGTACAGTTCCAGGACGTCGAGGTGAACGTTTCAGTCTTCTCACGTGAGTGCTTGATTCCCTTACATTTCGAATTAACGATGTCGAGGGCACGTTGAAACATTCGCTCCTCCCTTCGATCTCCAGAAGATGAGCGTCTTTTCTTCCAACTTGTCGAAATCATTTACATACTATCACATTTCAGGTCCTCCCGACAACTGCATCTTCCTGTGAATCCACGTCCGACTCCTCTCATCATTCGTTCTCACCGAGTGGGCGCTAACATCGTTTTCCTTTTCTTTCTTGCAACGGATTTAGATGGCTACTCTACGGTGGGGCATCGCCAGCGCGGGCAAGATCTCGCACGACTTCGTGACGGCACTGCGAACCTTGCCGGCGAGCGAGCACGATGTGGTCGCCGTCGCGGCGCGGCAAATGTCACGTGCGAAGGACTTCGCCAAGCTGCACGAGATCAAGAGGGCCTACGACGATTACGCGAAACTGGCCCTGGACAAGGACATCGGTGCGCAATAATACGTTGCGCTTCGTACTCGATAAACACAAGTGCTTTCAGTGATATCAATAGTACAATCTAATAGATAATCTTAACTCTGCTGTTGTGACTGGCTTGACTCAAACTAACAGACTAACCGATGTTTCTGTCAATGTATAGATATACATTTTGCATTCATTTTGCAGACATCGTATATATCGGTGTGATCCATCCTCAGCACTTGGACGTTGCGAAGCTGATGCTGAAGCACGGCAAGCATGTCCTGTGCGAAAAACCGTTGACGATGAACCTGAAGCAGACCACCGAGCTGATCGACTACGCAAGGAGCAAGAACCTGTTCCTGATGGAGGCCGTGTGGAGCCGCTGCTTCCCCGTATACGACGTCATCAGAAAGGAGCTCGCGTCTGGCAGCATAGGCGACGTTCACCAAGTGATTGTCTCCTTCGGTTTTGCAATGACCGACGTAGATCGGATGAGGTTCGTAACGTTTATTGATTGTCGTCTAAAAAGACGCGAGGTGATTAATTAATTTTCTGTTACTTTATATTCTTTATAGCATGAAGGAGCTGGGTGGCGGCACGATTCTCGACCTCGGCGTTTATTGCCTGCAATTCGCTAACATGGTCTACGGCAACGAGATGCCGGAGAGCATCAAGGCGGCCGGATTTCTGAACGAGCACGGCGTTGACATGTCCGTGTCGGCTACCTTGACCTACAAGGGCAATCGCACCGCGACTATTATGACGCACGCGCTGGCCAAGCTACCGAATGAGGCGTACATCTGCGGCACCAAGGGTACGATAAAGGTGCCGGACAACTTTTGGTGCCCGACGAAGGTGGAGCTGCCGAGCGGCACGGTGGAGTTGCCGCTGCCGAAACTGAAGCATGAGATTAACTTTATAAATTCCGCTGGGCTTTGCTACGAAGCTGCCGAAGCACGCAACTGCATTCTGAAAGGTAAAACTGTCGTCAAATGTGAGAGAGCCTTGTTTAAATTTAAAAATTAATGCAACGAATTGACACTATGATAATATTTCTCTAATGTGATCGATCTTTGTACATATAAAGTTGATGATGATAATATTTTACGTTTAATTCCGCAGGCTTGATAGAAAGTCCGAAGATACCGCACGACACATCTTTATTATTGGCGAAGCTGGAGGATGAATTGCGCAGACAGTTGGGCGTCGTGTATCCTCAAGATTGAAAAACTATATATATTTTTTGCAAATAATACGTAAAATTTGTGCCACGATGTAATGTATGATTGCAAAGGACATATTTTCTAGCCGTTTGAGTGTCGGAACTCTGAGTTTTTTATCTTGTAATAGCTGCCATTTCTCCAATTCCTGCAACGTGTAATAAATTTATAAATATTTTAAAATATTTGCTTATATATTTTTATATTCTTTTATTTAAAAGAACGGCACTACGAGTGTCAAGTTTAGAGGTTCGACGAATCGGAACGGTTGAGATAAAATTTGTTTTCGCAAATTTTTTACTTCTGGAACTATTTCATTATGCATTTTCTGACTCTGTCGATAAAATTTCCACTTAGTGCATGCCTGTGCTATGCATTCTAACATCTAATTTATAAAATTTACATTGTCTACGTGAGAAAAGTTGATGTAAATATCATGCAGATAACTTATGTTAATGCAATTTTGAATTTCACAGCACAGCCCTGAAAGGTAAGCGGCGTAAAGCGGGGAGCACACACTTTTGCATAAGTGCATAAGCATATGCATAAAGAAATTGATTGGTCCATAGGCAAATGCATAAGAAAACGGACCAATCAAATTCGTTATGCATACGCTTATGCATTTATGCAAAAGTGTGTGCTCCCCGTTTAATGCGTGGTCTACAATGCGAGTCGCGGAGTCGTAGTCGTAAGAATAATCGACTGCGATTGATCAATTTCGTCAGACAAATAAGAATTGACCAATCATAGTCGACTGCGATTGGTCAATTCTTATGTATCTGACGAAATTGACCAATCGTAGTCGACTATTCTTACGACTACGACTTTACGACTTCTATGTAGACGAGGCTTAAAGCCTCCGCTACAATGATTCTCGGTTCTGTCTACAATGGTCGTAGTCGTAGTCGCTCGATAAGAATTGACCAATTGCAGTCGATTATTCTTACGACTACGACCATTGTAGACAATGTTCTGTCTACAATGGTCGTACAGTTGTATCGAATGGTCGCTTGAGTAGTCGTAAAGCAGTCGTAGTTGTAGTCGCTCGAATAGGTTCAATTCCTATTCCAACGACCTCGACTGCGATTTATTGCCGCGACGGACCAATCAGAGAATAGTGTTATATGTCGTGTGTCATTATATGTCGAATATATCGTGGGAAAATACCTCAAAAACAGAAAATCGGTTTCAGTTATACATCGATACGACCCAATCCATGACTCTACGATTCTAAAGCGTCGTCTATAATAACCGGCGTAAGCGTGGAGTAAGAAGTAAGAGTAGGAGTAACGTTTTTGGCGTAAGCTGTTTACGCCGACTCAATCTACAATACGGTGAAGTAGGTGTTGTAGGCATGCGTGAAAGGCATAAGAGTAAGAGTAGGCGTAAAAAATAAAAATTATTTATTTCGCTTACGCCCTTACTCCAGCTCTATTAAACCGGAAGTAGCTCTCTTACGCCTGCTCTTATTTCTTACTCCACGCTTACGCCGGTTATTGTAGACGACGCTTTAAGGCTGGTCTACAATACATCGAGTAAGCTGGAGTAAGGAAATAAATCCATTTTATTTCTTACTCCTACGTCAGCTCTTAGGCTTACTCTCGGTGAATCAAAATGCCATCAATCAGTGTTACAATTATTTTAACAATCATGCCCGTATTTCAGCTTCCTTACACCAAAAGCTAGAAGTATAGGGCTCTCCCTTACTCCTTACTCCACGCTTACTCCACGTATTGTAGAACACGCATTAAGGTCATTCTACAATTGCGTAAACGTAGCTGTAGGGTTGTAGGAGTAGAAATAGTAGTAAGTGTTGTACATCAAAGTAATATACAATAGAGTGAGATACGTCGTAATTGAAATGAATGATTAGTTAGCTTTTACGTCCTGTATCGTTGTAGTCGTGGAAGATCAAGTTCAGCCATCTTTTACAACAGGCTTTACAATCGGAAATGCTAGTTTAAAACTGTGTTTTACAACACTGTACAGCCGCTAACAACCACGTTTACGCAATTGTAGAATAGCCTTTAGACTGCGACCATTGTAGACAGAACCGAGAATCATTGTAGCGGAGGCTTAAAGGCGCGCAAAACAGTCTCGTGAAACGGTATCAAGTAAAACGCCGGCGTGGCCGCTCTCAGGGGCCCGATTCTTGAATTTATTCGAACAAGAAACGTATACGAAAACTCTGCTTTGACAGAAAAGTTCAAAGTCGATTGGTTAAAGCCATGCGAATAGCCAATCAACTTGCAACTTTTCTGTGAGAGCAGAATTTTCGCATACGTTTCTCCTTCGAATATATTCAAGAATCGAGCCCCAGGTTTCTCTCTGCTCATGATTTTTCAATTTGACATTCGTATCGAGACGGAGAAAATATCGACTAATCGATAATATCGATCTCTAATTTGCCGTGTTCACTGGCGTCGCGCGCGCCGCGCCGCGCGGCGCGCGGTTTCCTCCAGTTCGTTGCAGGTCTGCGCGAGAAGCGGCGAAGGAGGATCGTGGAGAGCTTCGAAGCGCGATGTACGAGAACACGCGCGTGTCGCCGCGAGTTTTCACGGCGATACAGAATGTCGACATCATGGAGCTGTCTCTGTGCTCGCACAAGGAGATCAGGCCCATTCTGCCGTGCTTGGTTAGGATGAGCCTCATCTCGCCGCTGGACATAACGAGGGACTGCGTGGAGGGCAGGAAGCAAGTGCTGACGATATTGTCCGGCATCGAGTCTGTTAATTCCATCATCGCCCTGTTATCCATCGACTTCCACGCCCTCGAGACCGACGTCCGGCAGGAGCAGCAGTTGAGGTTAGGAGCGCTCTTTACGGGAACGCCGCCGATTTTCTGGTTATTTAGCGTTCACTTTCCCCCCCCGACGTTCCCAATTTTTACTGTCTTCCCTAATTTTGTCTTCTCTCTAATTCGCCTTTGGCTATTCCTCTCCAGCGTACACTCCGCTTGCTACGTTTTTGCACGTCGAAATCTAGGGGTCAATTCTGTATCTTACAATATAGTGAAAATGCTAAAAGCGAGCGGCTTTGTCTCTTTCCAAGGGGACGGTTAGAAAAAGAAGCTAGTCACTTTTAGCATTGTCACCATAGTGTGAAGTACACAATTAACTCCCCCGAGCTTTACCCCTGGGGGAGGGGGGGGGGCGCCTCGCTATGGAATCCCCTACGTCGCGATGACTCTGAAACTCTCTTTGTCGGCCTCTGCGACTGTCTCGCGCTAACGCTCTCGCCCATTTCCTTGGTCAGACAGAAGCACGGCAGCGTACAACGGGACAGCGTGCTGGCCCAGTCGCTGCAGAGCGGCCTGGCGCTGGAGTTCGAGCGCAGCGAGTCCATTCGTAGGATCAGGCTGGTGCTCAGCGAGATTCTGTTCATAGCGTCTCAGGTGCAGGAGCTGCAGAAGAATCAGGAGTTTCAGATTCGGCAGTCGGATCTGTTCGATAACGCCGTCTACATGGAGGAGATAAGCTACGTCATCTGCATCGCGCTGGCCGAGTTGCCGACGTTGCTGTCCATCCTGGAGATCACGGAGACCCTGTTGCACGTGAAGCACGGGCCCGATATAATATGCTGGATCGTCGCCAACAGTCCGGACAGCTTCTCGGAGGTGTGCGCGCACCTGATCGCCAACGGGGAGCGGCAGGAGGAGTCCGCGCTGGGCAGGATCCGTACGCAGGCGATCACGATGCTCTGCCAGACGAATCCGAGCCAGGCGCTGGCGGTCCGCGCCAAGTGCGTGGAACTGTGCCGTATGCCGGCGCTGGCGATCACTCTGAGCCTGGAGCACGAGGAGGCGAACGACTCGCGGCCCGAGAGCGACGTCGTTGCGTTCGTGTCCGGCCTTCTGCTCGGTAGCGATCAGCAGGTACGCACGTGGATCGCGATGTTCATCAGGAACGGGCAGAAGCGCAAGTGGGAGTCGCAGACGGCCCTGCAGTCGCTGCGGGAGGAGTTGCTCAAGCGGCTGCAGACGATCGCGTCGCAGAGTACGGACAGTCAGCTGGCGGAGTCGCAGGTCGTACAGGCGAGCGCGCTGCTCCGCCTGTACTGCGCCCTGCGCGGCATCGGCGGCATCAAGTTCCAGGACGACGAGGTGGCGATGATCGTGCAACTCCTGACGTCGCATCCGCCACCGTCGCCGGCCGGCGTTAGATTCGTATCCCTCGGTCTCTGTATGCTAATAGCGTGCCCCTCCCTGATCGGCCACCACAACCTGGAGAAGCGCAGCATCGAGTGGGTGCAGTGGCTGGTGCGCGAGGAGGCGTACTTCGAGAGCGCGAGCGGCGTCACCGCTAGCTTCGGTGAGATGCTGCTGCTGATGGCGATACACTTCCACAGTAATCAGCTGTCGGCGATCTGCGAGTTAGTGTGCGCCACCCTCGGCATGAAGATACCCATCAGGCCGAACAATCTCACGCGGATCAAGCAGATCTTCATGCAGGAGATCTTCACAGAGCAGGTGGTAACCGCGCACGCGGTTAAGGTGCCGGTCACGGCGAATTTGAACGCGAACATCCCCGGCTTCCTGCCGGTGCACTGCATCCATCAGTTGCTCAAGTCGCGGGCGTTCGCCAAGCACCGGGTGCCCATCAAGAACTGGATATACCGGCAGATCTGCGCGAGCGTGCCGCCGCTGCACCCGGTCCTGCCGGCTCTCGTTGAGGTCTACGTCAACTCCGTCCTGATGACCAACAACAAAACGTCCGAGCACACGAACAAGCCCATCACCGAGAACGAGATTCGCCAGGTGTTCCAGAACAGCGTGTTCGGGGCGAATTTTGACTTCAAGAAGAGTCCCGTCAACGCGATGCAGGTGGATGCCGACAGTATGGACATCGACGCGGCGAAACCCTCGCTCACCTCCCAGCTACTGCTGCTATATTATCTCCTGCTCTACGAGGACGTGAGACTGTCCAACATGCACACCTTCATGGCGCAGAACAGGAAGGTCAAGTCGTACTCGACGGAGTTTCTGTCCGAGTTGCCGATCAAGTATCTGCTGCAGCTGGTCCAGCGGGATCAGTTGAACTATGCCAGCCTGTTCTCGCCTCTCCTCCGACTGCTGGCCACGCACTTCCCACATCTGTCGCTGGTGGACGACTGGCTCGACGACGAGATGATCAACATAGACTCCGCCATTGCGAGCTACGAGAGCACGAAGATCAGCGACATCGCGATCGTCGAGGCGTTCAGCCACGTCAAAACCTGCCCGTCGAGGACCGGTAGATTACTCAGGCAACTGATGACGCTCAAGCCGACTGAGATCTGGCCTCACGCCGAGCTGATAATACACTATTTCAAGGATATCCTCGACGAGCAGGTGCCTAGATATATACAAGGTGCATTGGCTTAATAATTAGATCTTGTAAGAATAAGTCAACGTCTCGACCTAACTTGCTCATCCTTGGCGACAAACTCAGAATAATTGGTTTACATTGTACACGTGAAACAGTTGCAAGTTTTTTTACATTCTCATCCTCTGGAGTTCCATCGTGGTTCGTAAAAAAGTGTAAGAAGCAGTGGCAAAAAGTCTAGCGGTCGATGAACCATTAAATTGATCAAATTGTCAATATTATAAAACTTATATCATTATTCGACGTATATTATATTCTATATATTGACTATTTCGCGTATTGCACAAGAGAGATTTGTATATTATTAACTTATAGGAGGCTTTTCCAATTTTAGAACTTTATAAACAAGTGTGGCTCAGACTTAATACTGTACTACCGCGTTGTCTGTGGGTCCTCTCCATAAACGCGCTGCTAATAGAGAATTCGATAGTAAAAAATGTCTTTTTAACACAAGACAACATCGTGCTGGATCCGCTGCAAGTATTGAGATGTGACACGAGAGTTTTCAGATGCGCGCCGATTTTATCCGTGATCCTAAGGTAAGCTGAAAGAGAACGTTGTTACGTTTCGTAATAAGATAACAATAATCGAATTATCTTTCAACCCGTTGTAGAATTTTACAAGCCACGCTGGCCGCTTCGCGATCTCAATTATCCAGACACATGCAGGACAAGCCTCTGACCGAGAAAATCGGGCAGCTGACGAGCGAAACGGAAAGGGAGGATTTGAGGATAGCATTGGTGGCGGGTCAAGAGAGCGCGGCTGTGCAGATCTTATTGGAGGCATGCCTGGAAACGGAGGAAGACAGAAAAACTCCCGGACAAATGTGGTCCCTTCGGGAGATACGGAGCGTCGTGTGCTCCTACCTGCATCAAGTATTCATAGCCGATCCGTCTCTAGCGAAATTGGTTCACTTTCAGGTATTAGAGAAGAGTCCCCTATTATGAGATAGGATCCTAATATGGGACACCGGGGTTTCTGTTAAATTAATAGGCATCAAGTTGATTCCATCATTAATTTACTGCCCTTGGCGCGAAATCTGTTTAGTGGAAAATTCATTGTTGGATCGTGTAATCATTGCGAAAACGATTTGTCATCGAATTTGGTTGTTGAAAACCCGCTGTTTCATATTAGAAATCTATCTCATAATAAAGGACTTTCCTCCACTAATATCTCGTCGCCAAGATATTATTATCTTGGCAACATAAATTATACATAATAGATACTACAAGACTTATCCATTTTCCTTGTCGCTAATCGCCATCTAAATATAATTCCGATTAACTTTAATCTACAATTCTCGCGATATCTTTTTTTTTCTACAGGGTTACCCACGAGAATTACTCCCGATCACGGTATCCGGGATTCCATCTATGCACATATGCCTCGATTGGATCCCGGAATTATTGTCGCAACCCGAATCTGAGAAACAAGTGTTCGCCGTTGACTTGGCTTCGCATCTAGCGATTCAGTACGCTTTACCGAAGGCCCTGAGCGTTTCTCGATTAGCAATCAACACCCTGATAACGCTACTGGGCGTGTTGTCCGCCGAGGATCGTGTCATTCTTTTCATGCCGGTATTGTCGTCGCTGACGCGAATATGCCTGGCCTTTCCGCCGCTGGCCGAGGATATCACGGGACTGTTGGTGCAACTTGGCAGAGTCAGCACGGCACAGGCGGCACTGGGTGACAAAGCGGCGGATCTGTTGTGTCAAGAAGTGAACACTACGTTTTGCACGCTACTGCAGAAAGCTATATTGCAATCGCGAGTTTACTGAGGCGCGACTAGCTAGCTGTAGTAAAGAACTGTTGACTGTCTTGAGAGTTAATAATATATTATTTGTACATAAATCTGTATTACTTGTCCACCATTGTAAAGCAACTTTCAATTTTGTAAGCTACTTTTTTAATCATATACGAATTTATGGAGATATCTTTGATACATTTTGTGGTATTAACCCATTATAGGTCGGCGGCGATCTACAGGCTGTGGACTGCCAGAAGTAAGAAAATTCAGGACACTAGATTAAAATATGTAACATTGTGAAAAAAAAATTTGCCATACTTTTAAAATGGCAGACCAATATAGCCGATCGGATCCCGTAAAAATCCAGATTGTACGGAGGGAACTCGTTTTCACTCGAACCATATGCATCTAAATCCTTCAAAGCTATGAAATTTGATTAAAATGTAGAATATATAGAAAAAAAACGAAAAATTTTTTACAATCAAAATTAAAAATGGCAAATTTTAGTTTTACAGCCGTATTGGGTTCGCCATCGTGAACTTCTAAGTGCACATTCGTAATCAGCGACCCTCAAAACCCCTGTATCCAACTTTTTACCGGAAAAAATGTCTTTCATCTGCCAGTTTGAATGTTAAGTATGGAAAATGTTTTTTTCATAATTTCACGTATTTTGATCTAATGTCCTGAATTTTTTAGTTTCTGGCAATTCACAGCCCGTAGATTGCAGGCGGCCTGTAACGGGTTAATGAGACTGTACTGCTCAACCATTCGTTAAGTACCAAGTAAATCTATCAAAGTAAGTCAAAGATATGTGTGCAAGATGATTAATGAGTCATCGTGCGTTTTCCTGTATCTGACGTCTTTTCTTGCATACGGGAATACCGCACAGTTGCGTGTGTATATATTTGGAATTTAAACGTAAGTACATGAAATAATTATCGATCCAATGACCCTTGTCTCTGTAACAGAGACAAAAGCAATTTCTTATAGTGAGAAGATGTGAAAGATTTTCTATTTTCTATATTGTTGCGAGAGAGAGAGAGAGAGAGAGAGAAGTGCGTAGGAAAATAAAGAGGCGTTTTACATATTTTTCAGTATGTATTTACAGGATTTATTATATATTTAAACCACAGGCGACATACTCTCTACCTTTTCTCGCGTCTACAATGGTTTGTCATGTTTTGAGCGCCGTTGCTTCCCGTTTCACAAGTAACGCAAAAATCAATACAGAAATTATCGTAAATCACACCTTCGTGAAACAAATGATTGCTGAGCATCATCCAAAGTCTAAATGATGCCATTACATAGAGTATTTATGTACGTGTCTTACGCGACATAGTCTACACGATACGGATGTACATTCACATACTCGGGCATACATTACATATTCAGATCATACATTTGTTAACACATAAAGCTGGAATCAACGAGCTCGTCTATTCCAAAGAATTTAACATCAAGAGCTGTTTTAGCACCTTAGTTTGGCTCGTCTCTCTGATCTCACCGGCCAGGAACATCTCGTCCACGACGGTGTACACCTAAAATACAGTCATCGTCACAATTACCCTCGAATAACGCTACGGCTGAACGACGACAAGGCAATAAATCTCACGTTCAATCGGCCAAAGGAAAGGGATGGCCGATCCTTGCGCAAATTTCACAAGACAACAAAAGCGTCTATCAGAGAGGGAGATACCTTGTAAAAATTAAAGACTAAATCCAACTCGCATACATTGTGGAAGTATTCGTTCAACACCTCCACGAAATTATGTATCGCCTCCAAGTAACAGAGATTGTTGTCGTTGACGTCCACGCAGATGCAGAAATACAAGCCCGCGTACCGCCTGTACACAATCTTGAAGTTGCGAAACTGAAATGTACATTCGACAATTTAGTACATGGCTCAGCATAATTCGAGGGGGGTGGGTGGCTGGGCAGTGTCCTGCCAGGCGCCAACCTCGACGAAGTTCGTGTGCTTCGCATCTCTGACGGTGACCACCGCGTGAACCTCCTCTATCAGCTTCTGCTTCTCGTCGTCGTCAAAGTTCATGTACCACTTGGCTAACCTAGTTTTACCGGCCCTGTTTTGTATGAGGATAAACCGTATCTGTAAAAAAATTAATACACATTAACGCACTTATCCCCGCTTAGGTATTGTTGGTCCAATCGCCCGCAATGTAGCTGAAGATGCAAAATAATTGTCGAGGATGTAACTTTTTCTTTCTCAACAGGTGACTTTTCGTGCACGACACTGCACGACTATTGATCTCTCTCGCGATTAAACGTCACGTATTACACGCGAGTTTGTAAAAAGAAAAAAAGAAAATCAAACGGCTCGACCACCTGACAGAAGCAACGAAATGTCAATCGAGCAGGATGACATATTGGCGCATATCTTTCTTTACGTGCTCTTATCGGTTCCAACGGCAGACATTCATCTGATTTAAGGTGAAATATTTGTACACGTACCATCTTGAGACTCGACCTAGCACTCGATGAAATGTTCTACAAAATTTTAGCAGACATAAGATCCTATCGATTCCCCGCCCACCGATCGCGACTTAACAGCGGCAGAGAGAAGCCGGAGAGCTGTCAAGTGTCACGGCCCAGTTTTACGTGGTCCTCGAACGCGATGCGTCCTCTGTGGACATTGAAAACATGGACGTGGACTACGTGGTTAGTGTTTGGGCTGAGCGGATAACGCAGATGTACACGTTTTGGTTGTGTTCCGTGCTGGGAGCACGAAATGTCGATAAAAGCAGAGTTCTTGATATTTCGTTATGTGAGCGAACAGACCAATTCTTGTAAAAGCTAGCATCCCCGCCGAATTCTTATCGGCGGTCCTCTCATCTCTCCAATAATTGAGGTTTTACATTCTTATTATTTATTATTTTTAAACATGTATGTATAATAACATGCATACAATAATATACATACATATGTATACGTACAAGCTCTTGCGATGTAAAACATTAATAAAAATCAAATTGTAAAGGTAAATCTATTGACATGAATTACAAACGAAAATTTGAAAAAAGTTGAAACGTGGGTAGGTAGGAAAATGCATCGGACTATACATCGGAATACGGGCAGGTAGAGATTCGGGTAGGGCAGGGACAGGGGGACATAATTCGATGATTAAAAAGATAAATAAAATTATAACTGCAATGTATTATTATTAAATATAATTATATTTGCAATCGGATGCATGTAATAAGATGGAAGTTGTTTGTTATGCGTTTGTTAAGTTTTTACTTTACATTTACTTCAAATTTTTGTGTACGTGATTTACTTTTAACAGATCGTTAATAAAAATATTATACATTCGGGATATTTTTTATCCCATGAACATGTAATATATTTTACATTGCAGGAATTTCATGTTATTGTATGCATACCGAATATTTCATATATGTAATGTCGAGAGAAATATTGTCTTGTGCAAATATTATATTTTAATTTTATAATGTAATTATTTCTTATTACGGAACAGCATTTATCAAGTACTTATACACTATTAAAAAAATTTTTTTAACTAAGTAAATAGATTAACTTAAATTTGTTTTTTTACTGAAGCAAATATTTAAATAAAAGCAAATATTTAAATAAAAATATCAATTTCAAGTAAATTTATGTATTATATTGAGTAAATTAATTTCAATCATTACATTTTCTACATTCAAATAAAGATTTCATGATATTATAGAATACTATTTATTAAATGAAATAATTGTTTTTGTTAAATACGAAATCAAAATTTCTTCGCTGTGAAAATTACATCTTATTAAACATTTTATTCTCCTTTTTTTAAAAAAGAGATGTTACCAACGCGAATGTCGTTAATATCGAACAGTTGGGCCTTTTTCCACGATGCCGATTGGTTTTCTCGAAGCGCGGTGTGCTTCGCTTCTCTTTCAGATTCGTAGTAAATGAAGATTTGCAATTTAGAAATACACATTTGTATGCACCAACTATTGAGATAAAATCTCTAATCTTAGTAATTACAATTTAAGTAACAACGATTTTTGTTCCGTTACATTTTCTCGATTGAACAGAATTAATCGTTTATTTAATCAATACCAATAAGTCCGCAGAATGATACACAAAACGTAGTAACAGTCACGGAACAAAAAAAAGACCGAATTCTCAACGTTCGTAGTTGTTTTTCTCTCGGCGCGGTGACGTACGATGTTTTTGCGTGCCGCCGTGTACCCGAAGGTCGCCGCGCAATCATTCGCTTGCCGAACGTCGAGCCGGCAAGCAGTGTCGAAAGTCGCTCCGTGCGTGTTATTACTTTTGCGTTATCGGTTTCCAAGACTCGATCGCGACGAATATAGAGATAAAACGCTATTGGTTTGTACACAGCATTGTACATTTGGATACTGTGACAATGACAAGTGATTTTACAAACGGAAGTGTAAATTGGCGAGTGAAGTGCCATTTGAATACACTGACAGTGACAAGTGATTTTACAAACGGAAGTGTGAATTCGCGAGTGAAGTGGCATTTGGACACAGTGTCGGTGACGA